TCCCACCTTCTGATTGTAACAACTTCTACAATATTTTAGTCCTCTTTACCAAATACGAGCTTGAATTGATTTTTATCATGCAATATGTGAATCTGCTAATAGCACATCACAAGTCAGGTCGAGTAAATCTGTCGTTCGTTGCACCGAAAGACAAAAAGTAAAGCAATGCTCTCGCCCTCCACGCTTGAGCACAATTAAACACTTGTGCTCCGATTTCTCTCTGGATCCATATGTGCTTTCTCCCACACAGTCTCTCATGTTTTCTTCAGCACGTGTAAATTCTAATAAGGCTGTTTAATTTCTGTCACACTCCTGGGTGTTATTGAAGTCCTTGGCAGATATTTTACTGAACGTACACTGTCGCAGATTTGTATAAATTGTAAGAGTATGTTTGCTGACTAAAAGGCAAATGGAAAATGTGTTCTCTGCGTAACTGCCTTTTTATTCTATTTATACTGATAAGAATTAATTTTTTTTTTCATATGCTCTCAAGTAGTTCCATCAAATTCCTCCTGGGATATCAGTAATTTTCCTGAGAGTCAAATACCCATGTTCTTGTTTGTAAGAATTATTTTAAGCTTTTAGTGATTGCTTATGGTGCAGCTTTAATCGGTGTTGAATGAAAACAATCAGTGAGGTTGTGTGTGGCTGCAGGAGTTGTTTTGAAATGTTATGGGCTGTGTTCAGTCGAGCTAACTCTGCTCCAACACTGACCTCTAGTGGCTGGTGCTCCCTGAATAGTGTGTTAAAATATCACACACACTAAACAGATCCGGTCTCCTGATACATACAACGACCATTTTAAGTGACATTTCCGTTAATTAGGATGAAACAATTATAGCTGAAAGGAATTAAAGTGACCCATACAAAGAACCATTAAAACATATCATTAATTTATAATTTTTTACAGTTATAATAACTTAGTTACTATCCAAGAAAAAACAACAACCTTTACCCATGACCACACCTATGCAGAAAGACAAATGAAAGAAATATATTGAAAATAAAACAAGTCACTTATTACATTCATTGAAGGGACTTTTGTACAATGTAATAATAATATAATAATAATTGTTATACTATTGTATTATTGGTTTAGTATTATGTAATAATAATCTTTTAATAATTTTATAAATATATAAAATGATAGTTATATATTTTATTATTATTGTATTTAATATTATTTATTATTTATAATAATATGCAATTTATATATAATAAATAATATTAGTTTTTGTATTATAGCATTCAATATTCATATTTTTTATTATATTTTATTATTGTTTTCACTATTTTGTGAGAATAACATCGTTTAAATGACATTTTTTATATTTATGTTATTAATATTTATATTGTATTCTGTTATTGTAGTATTAATGTTTTGACTTTTTTGAGAATATCATTTTTAAATATCATTTTTATATTATTTGTATATAAAAATGATTTTATATTTTATATTCATGCTATTAATAAAAGGACAGTTTGTATTGTGATACCAGTTTTTCATTGTAAATGTCCAAATGTTAAGATATGAATAGATACTTTTTTTTAAAACATACATTTTATAATTGAGTGTTTAGGCTGAAAACTGATATCCCAACCTGGCTGCCTTTCGGAGTTAAGCACATGACCCTCGAAAACAGCATTAACTCAGTTATAAATATGTAACCCTGACTCCATTTTGACCCTGCACCTGTTATTCCGCTTTCTTCCTCATTCCCTATCATCCTCTTCATCAGCATGTCGTCCCATACCTCCCTTCTGTCCCGCAGCTGTAGGCCCCATATCACATCTTTCGAGTAGGTCAAACGGCGAGTGTATACTGCTCAGGCTGTAATAGGCATAATAGGGTCAAGCCTCTGCATTTAATAAACAATTATCCATTAATAATAAATAAGTCTCTCTCTAAAGGGCGTGACGACGGCCCGCTGCAAGCCTGGAGATGAATAATGCACAAAGTCCTGGTCAAACGGGCCGACCCACACAAGCGCCAATTATCCCGGCGTGATAACGAGCATCTGAAACCCACACCACTGTATGAACACACACTCTCAGTTCATACACACACACACACACACACTCACACACTCTCCCACACCTCATACGGCAGTGTATCTAGGATTAATATCTCACTCCCGCTTATGTTATTTTCTTGATTTCCCTGCAGTGTTTAGGAAGGAGAGGACTTCGGTTACGCGGCCCTCGCTGCCAGAACTGTCGCTCTCATTTTGAATTACAAATCAATCACAGGTGCCACCCGTAGCCCCACCAAGGTCACTCAGATTATCAGAGGTTATGAGGAGAGACTGATGGACCGCTGGCGTATTAGCATAGTCCGGCACAGGGTCTCGAGTTAAAGAGCCCCTGTGGACCCTTTCAGAATTCCCAGCTCGGCCTCCCCAAACACACTGTTACTGCTTATAATGGAATGAATGCTTTGCACTTTGCACTGGTCAATTATAGATATTAAGCATAAAGAAAATATACAGGGCTCCCACAGGGCCACTGGATATCTGACAGCGCTGGGACAGATATCAGTCAGCATAAGATGTGGGTTATTTTGAAGTTCTGTTAAACAAGCTGTACATTAATAGTCATATTTTTCACTAAACAGTCCATTAATGGATAATTAGCTGATATTTGACCTTTTTTTTGAGTCTTAGCCGAACAGTGCAAATCCCGAAATCTGCTGGCAACATCATCAAAAGATTATAAACAATTTCTGTAGCTTCTGCCATCACATCAGATTTTGTGAGTATACGTTACTATACATTTCTACAAATTTATATTAAGTTAATCACTTTTTTAATCACAATGCCACATAGTTTATTTTTATACCATTATTTATTTCATTTAATTTTAGTATTTAATATTTAGGACACACACAGTTATCTAATTTTATACCATTATTTATTTAATCATAATAATATTAAAAATAATTATTATTATTATTTTTCATTATTGTTTACTGCATGCAACTTTTTAAATAATGATTAGTATGATTAAGATTGACAAGGATTATAACATATGTAAATCGTTTTAATCGTGTTTGTTAATGTTCTAATGTTTTCACATACAACTTTTAAATAATGATTAGTGTGATTATGATAATAACAAGGATTTTAGCAGAAAATGATTTTTTTTTTAATTTAATCATTTTAATCATGTTTATTTGTTAATGTTATTTCACATACAACTTTTTATATATAAAGTGTGTGTATAAATCATTATTAAATAGTAATTAGTATATATCATGATGATAATTACAATGACATAAAATCTCTCTCTCTCTTTATATATATATATATATATATACTATATCTATCTATCTATTCCCTTTTTCACATATTACTATATAAGTACATTGTATAAAACACATATCTACAAGTGTGTATATACATTTAATGTTTAAATTTTGTAGTTGGTTTGTAGCGGCCCTGCTTTCCAGATATCCGTATCTACATCAGCCACTGACAACCATGTATTGGTTGAATGTTGCTATTTATGGTGGTTTCAGAACAGATTCATTATGGTATATTTGCAAAAGGAACATGTGTAAGTTAGTGTTTCAGTGCATTTACGTCACACATGTGCTAGTAAATGTAAGTAAACTTGTGAATTAATATGCACTTATGTATATGCATTAGAAAACCAGAGCAGAGTGTTTCCCTCTGATTCCCTGTGATTTCATTTCCAGAATGAAGGTTTGGCAGGAGGCAAATTAGCATTAAAGAAATGTCTTTGCTAGATGACTGTTCTCCAGCACCTCCAAAACACTCTCACTCTCTCTCTCTCTCTCTGGTTGTCTGGAACTCTGTCAGTTCACTTTGTCCTAATGACACTCTCTCGTCTCCACATCCGCACCGGCCGTCTCAACATCCTGCCCTGATCCCAGTGATTTAAAACACACTCCACCGTACCCCATCTTTATTGTGGGATAAAGCGCAGCGCGGGCCTGAGATACCTTCGCTCTCCCCGTCTGCATCTGCGGCACATCTGGAAGTGTGCGTCTAAATAATTGGAAGTCAATTTGTTTGAAGTTATGTTTTGGCATCTGGTTCAATTCATTCGATCTCTGGAAATCACATTCAGGGGTTTTATAGCGCTGCCCCAGCTGGAGGCTTTTCATCTCTTTGTGCTTCGTGGTTAATTCGGCGCTCTCTGGCCAGTGATGTGGGAGTTTGTGAAATACTGCTGGGTGTGGTCCTATAAACACAAAAATGGAGGCTCGGCCCCAGAGGATTATGGGAAGGCTGTGTAGTGATGTGGCAGAGTCTGGTCACCTGGGGACGTTACGATCACCTCGTATCAGTACGAGCCTTGCAGTCCTGCTGACATCCCTGATCGGTCACAATTAAACACCCTTTGTTCTTATTAATTATTTGATTAGAATAATATTTGAATATTCTATTCTAATGAATTCTCTTTACATGTAATAGTGTGTAACATGAACGATTTTTCTAAGACATGCAGCATTTATAATACATGGCTTGTCAATGTTTAAAGTTATTTTAAGTGGTATCTCTGCAGATTTTGTGAGTATCAGTTACTCTATAAATTGATATTTTTAAGTTTGTAAGTCACTTTATTTAATTTATTACAATCAGTGTTATTATTTAAAGGGGTCATATAATGCTACATGCACTTTTACAAGTTGTTTGAACTGAAATGTGTGTTGGCAGTGTGTGTTCACAACCACCCTAAAATGATACTGTAGTTTTTATTGTGGGGGCAAAACATATAATGCCGTGCAATTTAATGATGATACTAACAATATAAAAGTTGTGTTTACTTCATAAATATCGGCAAAAAGGGGGATGTTTTTAGAATTATATTAAGGCCTTTTATTTGCTAAAAAAGTATAAACTATCAATCAGATGACAAAAGGCATGTAGTGCAAAAGTTGTTTTTTTTTAGTAAAGTTGATTATTTTGAGGCTTTAGAGATTTGCATATCAAATATAATACAGTAGGCTTTATACAGTTAGGACCTCGACTGAAACTTTGGATATGAATGAAATGTGAGACAATGTGTTCAGTTTATCAAAAAGGGGTTTATTGTGTTTTCCCACACCCCTAGAGTTATATATAAAAAGTAACAAGTTAGATTAAGAAATGTTTAAGAATACAGGGATTAAAACATAAATACATGAACAGTATGTTTCTGGAAAAATACATTATGTATGAAATATAGAAAGATGCGTTAGGGTTTTTTTTGCCTATAGCATAATAACGTCTGCATTGCTTCTGGTCTCAGTGGTAATAAAGTTAGCCTGCTTTGGACAAGGCACAAAAAGATCTCTCTCTAAACTGGTCCATCTCAACAATGCCATTAAGTTTCAGAAATATACAGTTGGTGATCCAGTGATCATACGTAACCAGTGTTATTGCTGTATAGACAGTCTTTTAGGTCAATGTCAGTAGATCAATCAGTCAATCTCCCTTTTTTAATGTGTCTGACTCAACATTGGAGTAAGATTCTCGTCGTCTTTGTAATCCAACGGAACTGGGAGGTCAGTTACACAGTGTTACAGGCCAGCGTCTGGACGGTCAGAGCTCGTCTGCTTCCTCTGAGCTGAAGCTGCTCCTGCAGCTGCTCCCTTTGGACGCGGCGGGCGATCCGGCGGAGAGGAGCGGGTCAGTCCCGAAGGGCGAGAGAGGGTCGTCCATCAAGATCTCGTCCAGCCGGTGCTCTTCTTTCAAGGTGCTGCAGAAGAAGTCAGTGAAGTGGGAGAGAGGATCGGAGAAGGTGTTGGAGCCGTCGGTCTGTTCTCCGGCGTTCCCCGCAACCATGGCTGCCGGTAAGGGTGCCCGCTGAGTGTATTCTGGGTTCCTCATGTCCTCCTGAGGGTAGACGGGTGGCTGGCCTGGCTGCGGCGGGGCCTGGGTGCTCGGAGGGGCCGGTGTGACCAGCTGTTGTTGCTTTAGGAGGTGTGATGACAGTTCAGCGGCTCCTATAGAAGCAGCCATACTGGGCAAACCATGAGCGCGAGCCTGGATTTCCAATTCCTGCCAATTATAACACACACAGGCAGGTGGGTTAAAGATGAACTGGCCATAAAAATAATAGAGTACACTCTAATTTGGTCTCTTCCCTTCTTCTTCTTTTGCTCTAGGCCTTCATCAGCCCCAATAGGGAGTTTATGTGCCATAAACACATGAAGGGATGCATTCAACTTCAAAAACTCATGCATCACAATGCTATATTCCGAGGTAATGTCCAGCCAGCAGGGCTTCCCATTAAAACAGGGCAGCTAAGCAGTGTGTGACGCATAATTATTAACTTACCCACACCTTTGGGCTTAAGCTGCCACCATTGCGAAGGTTTTTGGCAAAAGTATTCTTAAATGTATAAATAAATATATAGTATTTATAATTACTTTTTCTTATTTGTAAGTCGCTTTGGATAAAAGCGTCTGCTAAATGACTAAAAGTAAAGTAAAAGTAAATGCTCAACATTTCAACATCATATTTATTCATTGTAGTCGGTTTTACTTGGCATCTAATTTTAGCTGGTGAAAATAACATTTACATCTTTAGAAATAATTTTTTACATATTTTATACATTTATAATATCTGACGTTTTGGGCTTAAGCTGCAACTATCATATTTTTTGGTAAAATATTCTTAAATTGGCCAAAATGTATTCATCTTAGTGTATTTTACGCTGATTTAAATGGCAACTAATATTAGTTGATGAAAACAACATTTACATATTTAAAAAAAACTAAATTAATCCAAATATTTTACGTAGTTTATACATTTAGAAATACAGTATCTGACATTTTGGCCTTAAGATAAACCATCATATTTTTTGGGGGTAAAAATATTCTTAAATTGGCCAAAATGTATTCATTTTTGTGTCTTTTACTCTGATTTAAATGGCAACTAATATTAGTTGACGAAAATAACATTTAACATTTAGACACTTTTGCAAATGTGTCTACACTAACAGCTATGGCCTCATATTTTCCTCTTTTTATTATTCCCATACATTATCTGTAGCAGAGACAGTTTAAATGAGCTATTGCATTGCCTCTTAACGTGGGTATCTTCAGACACTCAATTGAGGCATTATTAGCATTAGCTTTTGGATAGGGAGCCTCAGGGTAATTACTTTGAGGGCTAATTGCGATGTCTTCACATGTGTGAAGAAGACTCGCGCGCAGTCTGCGAATATGTCAATACCGTGAAAATGTAATGCATAAATTCAGACGAGGAGCCCAGCTCTTCAAAGTTATTAGCCCTCATAATCTAATTCCAGGCCCATTCCGCTCCTGACGAAGCTGTAGCTGCTATTTATTAATCAGGTAATTACCTCAGCTCGCCATGTTTCAAAGCGGGCCGGAAAGGCGGTTACAAACATCAGTAGGAGCAGTCCAGGCCGCTCAGCTGTCAGGCACATGGGGAGCTGTTTTTGTACCTTTGTTTTCAAGCTAAGCTGGTTTAGATGGTGATCAAGAGACCAGTTAAAACCACTAGTTACAATTATAAAGTATATTTGAGGCCAGGTTTGAGCTGCTATTGTATTGATACTACTAAATAAACTATATTTGTCAATAGAGTGGCAGTCATTTGGCTGTTTTCAAACAGCTTTTTTCCAGCGACAAGCTACATTTACAGAGAGTATCAAAACCTAACACTATATCTCTGTATTTTCACCGCATTTTACCATGTCCAAACATTTTGCAGAGCAAGTTTAGGCAATAATTAAACATGGCCTCCTAAATGCTCTTATTTAATGGTAGGAAGCCCAATTCATTATAGAGAATCACTTTGTTTACATGATTAAATGATTCACTGATCAAATAAACAACAGTTGTACCTGGACTAAAATGGCATCTAATTTTAGTTGGTGAAAATAGCATTTATATCTTTAAAAAGAAAAAGAAAACCAAGTATTTTACATATTTTATACATTTATAATATCTGAACTTTTGACCTTGAGCTTCAACCATTACAAGGGTTTTTTTTGGCAAAAATATTCTTAAATTGGCCAACATTTCTTCATTTTATTCAATTTTACTCTAATTAAAATGGAAACAAATTTTAGTTGACGAAAATTAAATGATTCACTGATTAAATAAACGACGAATTATATATATATATAATTTTTTTTTTTTTTTTTTTCAGTGTTTATTATAAAATTAAGGTTAATTCAATTCTGTCAGCCCAATTTAGATGTTCTTGTTTCAGATAAATGCTCCATTTTTCATCTGTTAGTTCAGAAAGATATTATATTCTACTTTTTAAAAAATGGAAGCTAGTCTTTTTTCAGCACTTCATTCCTTTGTTTTGTGTTGCATCCCTCTCTTTAATGTTCTTCCTTGTCGCTCACTCCTACAACCATCTTTTTCTTGCCGTCTCTCATGTCTACATCTCATTGGCACTCTCTCTCATGGCCATATTCCCCTCGTTCTCTTGTTCTTTTTGTCTCTTTACCTGGATTCGTAGCAGGAGTCTTCTGTTGGCCTGTTCAAGTTTCTTCTGTCGGCTCCCGAGATCACGAGCGTGCTGCTGCTCTTTCTGCAGCCACTTAATGTATTCCACCGAGGCCTTGAGGATCGTCCCTTTGTTCCAGCGCATATCACTGCCAGAAAAACGTAAAAGATAACCTTTCTCAACACCGCCTTTGCATCAGCAGAACTTTCATACACAGAGAAAAGCCTCACAAGGGTCTCCTTTTTTTCCCAGGACTAAGAAACTGTGATTTACATGGCCAATTATTCATTCTCGGACATTACCTTGCCTTTAAATGGGAATTTTAATGGAATAGTTAAGCACGTCTGCAGAAAGACCATTCTACGGCTCCTTGTACGGTAAAATTAATCCCTGAGCAAAAATAGGTGTCGGAAGAGGTAGAAAAAAATGGGACTTCGGAAGCCGAAGTAAAGTGCAGTCATTCCCGATACCATTACTTTTTAAAAGGAGGAAAGTGTCGTGAAATTGTCTCTTTCTTTGGAATAAGATGTTGGCCTGATCGCAGCTAATAATCTCTTTTATCTTGTGTTAATGTCAAGGTGACAGCACTAGTCTTCCATTTAAATTCGATAAAAAGTTCAATTAAGCCGGGGCAATGGACCTCATGTCTGCACTGTACTTCATCTCTGGGTTCAGTTGTGCTTAAACTTTAGTTCAAATGCTCTATACTTTGCCTTGAACCTCATTTTCATCATTCAGATGGGGGTCTGTTCGCTCTGTAAGTATTTCTTTGAGAAATGAGCACTGTGCTGTCATTTTCTCTCTACTTCAATGTCATTTTGCCCTGTATTCATGAGTCTATCTCTGAAGTGATTGTTTTTTTTTTTGTTGTTCTTTTCTCAGACTTTTAGAGTTTGATTTTAACTTACGGGTCATTTGACTTCGGTATCAGTATTCCGAGTTCCTTGATCCTGTAGTTGATGTTGTATCGCCGTCGTCTTTCAACTGGCAATTGAGAGAACAAAGTATGTCATACACCACAAACCTAATATTAATATTAAATATAAATGACTAATAAAAAATGCATGCTTTCTTAAATTAAAGTATGAATGGTGTATTATTAAATATAAATAATGAAATTAAATATATAACCCTCATATTTTGTTGAGAATGTCGTTAAAAATAAATTAAAATAAAATAACGTTAACCTTATTCTCCTCAGAATATTAAAGAATATTTTCTCTGACCTAGTCAGGATCCATTTGACAAATGTTATTGAATATTTATTGTATCACAAAGCAACCAAGCATTTTTCAGAAATGTGCAACTTTGCTTCATTTTGGAGTCATTTTGAGCCCCATTAAAGCACACCACACAAAAAAAACAATAAAATAATCAAAATAGACAGTCTTTGTTCATTTTTGTTAACAATAGTTTCTTGGAAATTTAGGAAAAGTATCAACCTTTTACTTAAAGGGACAGTTCACCCCAAAAATGACAATTCTATCATCATTAACTAAAAAGTAGATATTTTGAAGAATGTTGGTATCCGAACAGTTGACGGTAGCCATTGACTTCCATGGTATGGAGAAAAAAAAGTACTATGGAAGTCAATGGCTACTGTCAACTGTTCGGTTACCAACATTCTTCATAATACTTTTTTTATGTTCAACAAAAGATAGAAACTCGTACAGGTTTGGAATGACACGAGGGTGAGTAAATGATGACAGAATTTTCATTTTTGAGTGAAGTATCCCTTTAACTAATTTGAAGTACTTTTGGAAGCATTTACAGGGCCTCTTAACAGAACATAAGGGTTAAATAACCATTTTTTAAATGTAAAGACCCCTTACTTTGATTGTGGTTGTCTTTTTTCTGTCTTTCTTTGGCCAGGACTCTGGTGTCGTGTTCTGTAAGAGAAGAAAAGATGGGAATGTTATTGCAGAAACTAATAAATGTATATCCAAAGGTAATGTGAACATTTAGTTGACACATTCTTTAGAAAGCTGCCAGATTAAAAATGTCATTAGTTTGAGCAACTTCCTCAAGATTCCTGACCCCTGCCTAACACTCACAAAACAACACTAACCTCTGTTAACCCATCACATGCAGCCATGCAATCAATACAAGCCCTCTTTTTGTGTGTGAATAAGTTGTTTTCATTCACCCCAGACTCGTCAACACCAGATCGCTGTCTTAATGTAGAAAAGCTGTGTATCTTCTTTTAATCCTTCCTGACCTTACGATTAACCAATCTGCTGACATCCTGGAGCGGGTGAGGAGGAGGGAGGCCAAATGCTTCTGCATTCATATTCACATTCACATTCTTCCAAATTATATAACTGGGAGCAGTGATTGGATTTCTCAATTCATTTCTGCTGATTCAATAAGGTAATTTGAGCCGCGCGTAACCAAACAAGAGCGCTGTGCAGCACGCTTATGTGAAAAAGACAGTAATGCACTTATTTTCCTGCCGGAGTGAAGAGTTCTGGCAGGCATCCTTTCTATTTCCTGAATCAATTAGCTTTACTTGATGCATGACATTCATAAGAAAAAAAGGCACCCACAAAGGAGGCATTGTGCCGTGTCTATCATGCTAAGAATACATACTACCATATTCCGCTCATTGAAGCATTGATAATGAAGAATGAGAGCAACACAATGGTGAGCTAAACACGGAGCGTGCTGACTCTTAAAATAAGACAGCTGGACAATAACATGAAACATACAGGCTTGTGTTTAGCTTTCAAAGCCCGGGCCTTATGGGATAACACATGTGGAATGAGCCCGTCTGGGTTTGCTTTGCTAGATCTATTTACAGTATGCCCTTGAATTTTATTTATTTATTTATGTTTTGTTCCTAAATTTCCAGAATGGAAGACCATATAATGTCGCTACATTTTTAATAGTCTTGCCTACATAGACCTTTAAAAGCTATTATATTTGTGTAAATTACATTTACATGTATGCATTTGGCATTTTTTATGTAGTGGATTCAGCATATTTTTAATCATATCTTTATATTGACTATTATACTATTGACTATGATAATTATGTTTCATCAAATTATACCATGACTAAAGTGTTAACCCGAGGAACATATTTAGTTGTAGTAGTAGTGCTACATTTGAAAACATGTATCATAATATTATAACATATAATTGAAAAATAATCATATTAAAAATATTATTCATTTGAAATAAGAAATGAAAAAATAAAGTATTCCAAATGCATAAACGTAAATGCACACTACAGTTTTGAGACAGCTAATTCATCTTGTAAAATAAGTACTGAAATGCTATTTATCATTTTTATAATACAGTTATACAATAATACAATACAATATAGTTTTTATAATACTTTTATAAATATTTTACAAATACATAATTATATTATATATTATTGCTCATTAATTTTTAATTATTGATATTTTGCAAATATTTTAGTTATGATTATGGTTTCTTTTTCCCAAAATTTCATTTATAAGGTGTACGATAGGACAGTAAGTCTGCACTTTAAATAGTTTTTGTCAGTACATATTATAATATATATATATATATATATATTATAAAAATAAGTAAAATATGGTGCTAACAGAGACGATGTGATAAGTTTAAATCCCAAGAAATAAACATTTTTTATTTTATTTTATTTTTGTGGACTTAAACTTATGACCTTGTCAATGCTGTCACAAGCAACAGAAAATGTATTGTCTCAAAACTGCAGTCACATCTTTGTGGTGTAGATGCCCTTAAATTATTTCGCTTTAATGTGTAACTAAACTGCATGTTTCTTTCTGAAATGCCTTTGCTAACAGCACAGGTCCTGCTCGGACAGGCGTCTGTGCCCTTCTGTGCTCCGTACCTGTGACTTCCATTTTAACTGAGAGCTTTGTGGGCAATGAGGGTGTCAGTCCACCGTGAGGGGCAGTCATACCTTGGTCAATGCCGTACACCTCCAGCATGCTGTTGTTCAGGGAAACCTTCAGAGGAAAAAGAGAGAAAGTAAGTCTAGATTTACACACAGACATTAAATGTTCACCATGTGTAGTTCTTCTGAGTGTATGTGATCTTTTATTGCGCCACATGTAATATTTTTGGTGTTTTATGTTACATGCATGGTTTTTAACAAAGACTTTCTGTATATTAAGAGTAAAAACCTAAAACATCAAACACTATTTGTTAAACAGGCTTAGTTAGAGTCTCTTGATTTTGACGACTTATTTTACACTGATTTTGAGAATTAAAATGTGTTGAATTCAGCAGGAAGTGCTTTATTTTTCCAAATGAAAGCATAATCAAATGTAAAATATAAAACAAGGATGTGTAGGATGTTATGAATGAAGGGTGTTTAAATTCTAGATATATGCAGAGCTTATATGTGCACACTGTCATTAAATATTATTCAAAGGTGTAAATAAAACAAAGATTATTGGAGCACATTTTACTAGAGAGCACTCTTTCAGTTTTTCTACTTCAAAATTTCACGTCTAACTCGATGCAGTTTCTTTGTAGTTGTGTAAAAAAGGAGTAAAAAATAGTTTCCATACTATTTTTGTGCAGATTCAGTATGAGCTTTAAATGAGCAGAGAAAATCAGCAAAAAGATGCAGTGCTTAAAGAGACAAAAGAGGGCGCCGCGAAGCAAGGGATTTTTTTTTGGCTAAATAGTGAATGTGTAATTTTAGTATCATTGAGATACTATTTTTAAAGTTTTAGATTAAGTTAGAGTTTATTATTATTATTATTAGTTTTAGTTAACTATAATAAGCCTGAATTGAATAGAATTTAAATTTCTTTTTCTTTTTTCTCCCCTGACTACCAATCCCACGAAAGCCAGAGCTGTGGAAAGCCAATTTCTGTCAGCCTTATGGATGAAAAAACGAAGTGTACAGGATTAAAGAGGAGGTCAGAGCGTTACAGGAAGACAGAGGCGGCAGGCGTTATAGTGTTTCCTCCGCTCGTACACGCTCTCCATTATCTCAGTGAGGGGAAAGAGCTCGCTTATCAACATGAAAGATTGCCAGGGCCCCTTGACTGTTCGCGTCGTAATCGCTTCAATCTATTCCCATCATGTTAGCAGATATGTTGACACGGGGAAGCGGCTTGATGCGTCGTGCTGTATGACTAATTAGAGCGAACTGATCCGTTTAAGCATGGTATCATTTCTGAACAAGTCCACTGGGAGAAAAGATATTAGCTCAATCCGATGCTTGACTGCTTACTCAGATACAAAACTCTCATTCGCTCTTTCTCTCTCTCTCTCTCTCTCTCTCTCTCGACTTCCTCGCCTTATTCGTTCCCATCATGCTCTTTATTGTTTTCAATAGAATCACATACCTCTCCAGTGAGTTCAGGTGTTGCTGTAATCACGACTCAAGTGATGCTTTGTCCATCTACAGACGTCAGTATGACCTTAACAATTTCATGCTGGTCTCACACATACTTGGGCCACTTGTGTGCCCACATGCTTACGTAAGGCTTTTCATTGGCTCTAGCTGAATTGCAATTCCTCAGCAGAACGTGCATTTAGTTATTTTCTCTTGTTTTGGAAGAGTAATCACTCATTAACATAGCCGGGCTCTTCTAAGACATACCTCTCTGCATGCCGACATCATTACCAGACTAATCTGTATTGTTCCACTGTTTGAAGCCTGAGATTTACGTCCGTTCCCCTTTGACTCTCAGCTGGATTCGGTGTGACCTCACGCAAAGACAAACCCCTTTTCACAAGCATACCAAAGTCTGGCACATGTTTGTGTTATTAATGTGTTTAATTCATTATATACGAATGTAGCTTATATTTAGGATTCAGATATGTTTTATTCATCTAATTATGTGGGCATTTTATGTACTTAAATGTACTTGATTTTGTCATTTTCATTTTATTACGTTAACACTTTACTGAAGGTTTATATGATGCTTTAAAAAGCTATTTAGTTGTAGTTTTTCCTATCACTATAAATGTTTTTAAATATATTAAAATTACATAATGACATAATATAGTATTTAATATCAGTATTGATCTTGATAATTATTTAATAGTTATCGATATTCTACAAATATTCAAAAAATTATACTTTTATGATTTCATACAAAGTACATATTTCAGTGGTCATCATGACTAAAATTATTTTAGCGATAAAATATTCATTATTTGTAATAATATAGAACTTCATATTCTAGAATTAATATTAATATTCTAAAATTATATGTAACTTATTATGTAACTTAATGTTCTGCTTTGAGTTAATAACTCACAATATGTATTTTACACTTTATATATATATATATATATATATATATATTGTATGATTTTTACTTGATATTTTGACTTTTAGTTCAGTAAAATTTTGACTAATTTTAATTAACAGAAAAATAATTATAATTTTCACTGTACTTTTTACACCCCAATACACAGGTCATTATTAATAACAGTTCAACACAGTGAAGAGATGAACTTGGCTTATACTTACATTATTTTGCATTATGATGCCTGGCTCCATACAATCCAAACCCCCATCTTTGAACCCGGTTTCAAGGCTAATAAGATCATCAATAACTTCATCCATTGGAAACTAAAAGAAAACAGTGATTATAGCACACTCTTTGTGCTCTGTCAGCAGTGGTTGAATTTGTCAATCTGAGATGTTTGTTTGCTTGTTTTGAGTTTCATTTTCACTGTCATCAGTCATTGTGTCAATGCAGAGTAAAACGAGAGACGTGTGAATAAAACCGGGCCACTAATCCAATAACAGATCATCTCAGAAAGACGACTGTGAGGATGAAGCACCTCTTATCAGAGCAGCTGACCCATCCTTTCAATGTCAACGTGATCAGAGCTGAATGTTTGAAGTTATTGATGAGTAAACACACACACACAGACTGTGACACAGGTAGATGAGATCACAGGAAGTACTCACCTCGCTGTCGTGATTGTTGGCCAGCGTGAGCAGGGTGACAGGGCTTCCTGGCGTGCTGCTGTCGCTCACGGGCGGCATGTGTCCGTTGCGCATGACTGGCACCGATCCCAGGGCCTGGCCCGGGTGAGGATGGCAGACCGAGTGGGCCTGGCTAGCAAGCTTGCTGCCCAAAGTTAGGTATTGCTTGACCTGCTGGGCCTGAGTCTGGTGGAGGTGGTACTTGGAGTTCTCCAGGTGATTCTGAACCTTCAAAAAGAAGAGAAAATTTGCATTTTTAGCTAATGTAAGTCTTATTTGTCTATAAATTGTCTTTACACTTGAGTGTCTTTCATATCACCTTTTTTCCCAACATTAGGCATCTGTGCAACCAAAACCAGCAAGAAAAAGGCAGTTTGTCAAATGTGCACTTATTTAAGTATATACCAAGCCCAACATCTCATTTTAAGCACATCACACCATTTACCTGCTTAAAACATCCCTAAAATGACTTAAAGGGTTATTTCACCACCAAAAATGAAATTTCTGTCATCATTTACCCACCCTCAAGTTGTTCCAAACCTGTATGAGTTTCTTTCTGCTGCTGAACACACTTTGAAGAATTTTGGTAACCAAACAGTTGATGGTAACCATTGACTTCCATAGTATTTTATTTTTTTTTGGCAATGGCTACCGTCAACTGTTTGGTTACCAACATTCTTAAAAATATTTTCTTTTGTGTTACACAGTTAAAAGAAACTCATACAGGTTCGGAACAACTTAAGGTGAGTAAATGATGCCAGAATTTTCATTTTTGGTTGTATTATCCCTTTAACCAGTATAATCCAACATCAGCCACAAAAAAAAAAAACAATACGCAGGACAGTTGACTTAAAAATCATTGTTTACTCACCCTCATGTTGTCCTGTAGGACTGTGGAACACAAAAGAAGATATACTTTTTTTGTCTATGCAATGAAAGTCAATGGGCACCAATGTTGTTTTTAGACCCCATTGAGTTCCATTATATGAACCGAAAATCTTCAAAATGTCTTCTTTTGTGTCCTGCACAAGAATGAAAATCCTACATGACATTTGGAATGACATGAAGGTGAGTAAATAATGACAGCACTTTAATTTCTGGGTGAACTACCCTTAAACCAAGCACCAAACGGCTCTCGACTTGCGCAAGTCAAAGCAGAACATAGCAAGTCCTTACGCTGGAAACGCGAGCTCCGTCTCTCATCTTGTAGAAACTACAGTCAGTTAAATGTGGCATTCTCAATCCCTGTACGTCCACTAAGGTAGGATCCCAAGCTGTGGAGAGGAAACCAAGTGACTGTCCCCTCTTGTTCCTGTGCGGTCTTTATAAACAAGCAGGAGGATCTCAGTGACCTAATTAGTACTAAGGCCAGGCCTTTCCTATTTATTGCAGGTCGTAGTAATCACCTCAAGCGGAGAGATTACTGATCTGACAGGTTTGATCACCACAGGGCCGAGGTCTTTCGCCTATATCGCTCATTCGCTGGGACTGCCCAGTTCTGTTTGCGTGAAGCGGCCAATCCCAGACTTCCCCCTTCAGCCACTTCTGCTTCAGGGGGTCCGAGACAAATACTACTTGTTCTGTGCGGTTTACAAATGACCCAGGGGCCCATCTCTGGATCAGACTCACTAGACAACATTGTCTTGTATCTGTTCTCAAAAAATAACTGTCGTGAACCCGGTCGCTCCTCTAATTTTAGTCTATAAGATATCGTAAAACTAAATATAGGAGGGAATCATTCATTCATGGTGACGGAGGCGACCTCAAGTAGTCATTATTATGTTGTCTACGCTCACAAAAGCACAACTGTTGAGTTACTTTTATGGCGCTCGAAGTATTTTCGGAAAAATCCAAAAAGGAACTTTTACTGACCGCTGACCAAAAAACACTCAATTGTGTGAACAAAAGTTATGTTTAATTTGATCAAAACGGCTGTTTGCTCAAACAAAAGAGGCATTTATTACTCATGCTCGTTGAATCAGAAAACATTTGTTGGACTGCAGACTGTATCGCCCTTCAGTGGAAATCTTAAATGGAAAATATTATCCCATACGCACCGAAATAGTTATTTAAGCCCTTGAAGGATGAATCCAAGGACCAAATCGGATCTTCTATGCCCTTCTGACTGCATATTCAACAGTTCAGCGGAGGTCTGTCTCTGTTTATCAGCCATTGCAAAGCTCTTTTCATTACGCACACTGGATTTGGCTTCAAAAAGGACCTAAGAGTGTAACTTCTCTCTTATCCCAGGCAAAGGTGAAAGAAGCCATTGTGTGTCTGAGGGCTCATCTCTGCAGTAGGGAAGGGAAGGGTTCTCCTGCCCACTGCTGGGTGTGTTAGAGGGCCACGTCCTTGACTCACATCTCCCCTTTCAGTTGTGAACGCAGGATATACGACTGTTAACTAATTACAGCCTGTAATGTGATTGAAGTTGAAGTGATTTTGATCACAAATGCAGTGTAGACAATGGAAGCTCTATGAGTGAAGATGCATGAGACGCCATATTTAAACCAACATCAGACACTCTAGAAGGTTAATTTACTAAACATTCAGCATGCAGATTATGAGCTGATCTAACATTAACATTAATACAGTTTTCAGGGTAGGCTTTCCGGCACCCCCTAGTGTAAATAAAATTAGCTAGATTCTAAGTTCATAAACTTATTTTTATCCACTTTTGGTAATTTTCTATTTTGTATCTATCATATAATTTTTATATTGTCTACAATAGTAAAGTGTATTCATTCAAAGAACTGTGTGTGTATATTACAAAAATATATGATGCCCATTTAGATAAGAATGGCACATATTAGCAATATATTAAATTAATAATTGTATTTTATATTATGTTATTTAATATTATAAGGCACAAAAAGCAAGGACCGTATTGAAGTACAAAAAACTAACAAACAATTTCTTCACAGTTGCAGATAAACACAAATCAATTTTAAATGAATATATTTTTAAAAAATGATTTACCTTATTTTGGACTATAAATGTGCATCTTGCTTAGAAACCTGTAAGCGTGTCTTGAATGGCGAGGTATAGTCTATTGTGCTTGTGTTGATGTTGCTTAATTTTGTTTCAGGATTAGTCAAGTTCTGGTTTCACTTCAGAAAAATCTGCGTTTTGAAACACAGGGGAGGGGAATGATTTTTTACCGGCTGTACCAATCATGGACAAAACCTTTTCATGGCTAAAAGGTCAGGTATTATAGTAAGTTGGAAAGATAAGTTAAATCCTTGCAATATAAACTTATAGGATATGTCTTTACTCTGACAGATGTGAATCAGAGCTGTTCTTTTTTTGTTTTGTTTTGTTTCTGAAGAAATCAGTTGTGCTATACTGAATATTCCTCCTCAGCATCAATGCTGTTAGACCACAAAAGTTTCTGAGGGGAAGAGAAAGTAAAGCACACACACACACACACACACACACACTCACTAAAAGAGCAGAATCACATTCACATCTAATATTGTCCCTTTTCCTTAAAAAAAAAAAGGTTTAAGATTGTAAATTTATAATTTGATGTTGTTTTCTTGCTATTTTGATGTATGTTACAGGAGCAATAAACATATTTGGACAATTTAGTCACACTCAAAAATTCAAACCATCAAACCAATTATCATTCATTTTATAGAAATTTAGCTTTCTTTTCATTTTATATATTTATGTTTTTAGATAAATTTTCCATATAGCTCTATCATCATATTGAAATATAACACTTTTTATTATATTATTTTAAAGACATTTTGTTTTAATTTTCATTCTTGAGAGTAACTTAAGTGTCCAAACACTGTTTTGGAACCAGTGTGCTTTTTGTAGTCATTCTATAAGGCTTTTTAAAACTTGTCATTCACAAGGTATATACACACACACACACACACATATATGTATGTATATAGTAAATAACTATATTTATGCATTAAACAAACACTTTTATCCAAAAAAAAAAAGTTACTTAAGGTATGTGTGTATTCACTGGGAATCAAGTCCATGGCCTTGATTGCCATACTGTACTCTACAAGTTGAACAACAGGAAGTAATCTCTCCAAAAAAACAATTTCACAGATTCAGAGTAACTAAAGTTCAACATAAACTCATTTAAACCACAATAAGCAGGTTTCAAAACCATTTCCAAACTTGTTTTTTTTTTCATTAACATTACACTCAAAGACACACACACAGTATTTGAACTTAAACTCTCATGCAGCTCTCATCCCAGTTTCTCTCTCTCTTTTGCAGCTACATACCGGCAGCAGTTGCATCTCAGTGAAAGAGATGACTTGAACCACACAGCAACGGCTCATGGTCCACAAGAAGGCCTTCAGGTATCACGTAAGCAACATGCACAAACGGCCTGCAGTCTTGCCCTTAAACCGCAACCCAAGAAGAGCTGGAATCACTCAGTCCACTGTGAATGCAACCCAGCTGGGAAAGCAGAAGGATAACTAAGCGTGTGTGTGGCTTTCCTGAGCTGTGTGTGCAGAAACACTGGCCTGGAGAGGAAGGCATGACACATCAGCTTTCTCAGCTCTCCAGCTTCCTCTGTAAGGGATCGTTCCTGCTCTAGTGGTCAGCCAAAGGCCTGACGGAGGCACAATTTCAGGTGCTAGAGAGACTGAGCGTTTTGTTCTTGGTGCTTCCTGTCTGACCATCGTTACAGCCTTACTCAGCACATTCCCCTGAGGGGTTATCTCTTTAGCACACACACAATGTGTATAAAAATTAATCAAACGAAACACAAGTGTGGACAAGCTTGCTTGCATGTTCACTCGTAAGTAGTGTAGTGCACACACGTTCACTACAACATTAAGTACACTCAAGGCCAAAGAAGTGCAAAGTGCTGCTTACAGAAGCCTCTTGGGTTAAAATTACTGAGCAAAGCTTTGGTAAAGCACTGTTTTTCATTCAATTTCGTCTTCCAGGGCAATTTTTTTAAATTGCACCATGGATTTTTTCCCACAATCTGCAGTAATTGAGAGTAACTTAAGTGTCCAAATACTGTTTTGGAACCAGTGTGCTTTTTGTAGTCATTCTATAAGGCTTTTTAAAACTTGTCATTCACAGGATAACCTTCTACAAAAGTATTACAGATATTTATTAATATTTTACATTTTTGCTAGAATCATAAAAATGCTTGATTCTATTGTTTTTGTCGTTTTAACCAAGGAACCCGCCCATATACAGTGGGTACGGAAAGTATTCAGACCATTAAGTACACTCAA